GATTCCTGATCATGGGCGCGATCGGTTACTTCATCAAGCTGAGTGCGTTACCTCCCCCTTTTTCCTCTCTTGCCCGATTCCGAGGCTGTGGACCAGAAAGAACAAAAAAGCTCCGGAGACAGACACAAAAGGCAAAATGCTAACAGCATAACCCGCATGGGCTTTCCTTGCGTGCAGTACACATACCCGTCAACAACGTATTAGTGGGATAGTTTACATACACATGAGCGACAACAGAACCTGGACGGGAGACGAGAAGAAAAAAAGACAATTCGGATGGTCGCATAAATCATCCCCCCGTCGAATCTTCCAATACATGACGACTAACCCGTCATTGCCACACCAAACACCTACCTACCTACCTGAGCGTTTTTGTATTACTATTTCATTCCACCCCCGGGGGTTCCTGGAGAAGCGATATAGGTGACCATCGAGCGGGGGAAAAAACAGGGGCACGCAGGGGAAAAAGCTGAATCGAATTGATCTCGATGAGCAGTGCATCCGTCTTTCTTCCAATTTCTTAATGTCATTGTGATACATCTAGTTCGACGATCTCGAGAGCCTGTCATATTGCACACAAGACCGTCTATTCTGGACAAGCACTGATGCCTATCTCCTCGACGTTCTGGAGAGAGAGGGAGTGTGTGAGTGTGTGGTCTGTATGTCTTTGTCTGTGTATACGCTATGCTATGTTAGGCTATCCTATGCACTCTCTGTTGTCCAGATCCAGATCCAGGTCCAGGCCCAGCTTCAGACACCATCCACCCAGATCAACCAGCCTAGCTGACCCCAGCCCAGTCCAGTCCAGCCCATCACAGCCAAGCCAGTATTGTATGCTCGTGACATTCATCATACACTTGTGAGAAGTATTTATCCACTTTAGAGTATTTTTCATGTACCGTTGATCTTGAAGTCCTAGTCCTAGTCCTAAACCCTACCAAAAAAAAAAACTAAAATGGCCCCAAATTTCATTCATCTATTCGTCTAGTCTGAGTGAGTGTGTGGCTTTTTGAGTGTTCCCCAAGGTATGTGTTTTCATCAGTTCATGAGTATGCGTATGTATATGTGTCAAGATGGCGGGATTTTTTTTTTGGCGTCAGGCCCTCGAAAGGGGTTTCATGGCAATGGTCATGGCGATGGGGACGGGAATGGGAACGAGTGATTCGGGGCCGTGGAAAAGACGGGTCGGGCCTTTGGCTGGCTGTTTCGCTACCTCGTAGTTGTTCGGCCATCTCCTCCTTTCGGTCGGCTTCGTGCCGGCGGCTTGCTTTTCAAGCGCGTTCGCTTAGAGCAAAGGGTTTCTTCTCCCTCGTATGTACAACCACGCTCACACTCACGCTCACACACATCAACGAGTGCATATGCAGGCGCAACGCCTTGTTGGGAAATTCCCAGGATACCGCTTGGATCGATTGGGTTTGCAGCGCAGGCAAGGCGATAGCTCTCGACGGTCGCGACGGAACAACGAGGAGACAAAACATCCCTATCCCCTTCCGTTGCCTTCCGTCTCGTCGTGGTGCCGCAGGCCGCTTCTCAGACTCAGCCGTCTCCCCACTATCCTCGCCGTATCCGCCAGTGATTGTCACCAGATGTTGCCTCCACCGCCCTCGTCGTCACCAAACCTGGCGGGTCGGACGACGTTGCTCCTCAGACCTCTGCCCTCGGCGCGACTCCGCGTCGTAGAGGGACTGCTGTTGGTCGGGTTGCCCCGGTTTCCGCCTCTAGCACGGCGCATGGCGTTGTCAAAGTCCTCTCGGGGATCGAGGCGGGCGTTGTAGTTCGAAGACATGGCCGGAAGGGCTTCGTCGTCCTCGGCGCCGTCGTTCCAGGAATGTACGGAGACTGTGCCCGTGGCCATACCCCAGCCGTTCCAAGAAGTCGCTAACCAACAACATTAGCACATGTCTTTCAAACCTGAGTAGAAGAAAAGCAGTCTGCAAAGACGCAGAAGCTGTATGCATAAATGTTTAAACTTACCAGCCAGGACCGGTGCAGTGGGACTCCAGCTTGCATCCCTGACGCATGTCTTCCACACACTGTTGTGATGTCCGTGTAGTTCATAACCATAGCCTCCACCGTTGAAGCTGTCACTTCCATCATTTCTCGGTCTCGTGTGTCTCGTTGCTGCATAGACGTCGATTGTAGCCTTCTGGGTACCATCCATATTCCAGATGTATACCTTTCCATCCTCACTGCCACTGTACACATACCGAGAGTTGGAAGACCCTGGAGGCGAAAAGTGACACCGGATCAGTGTCTTGAGGACGGAGTGACCCCGGAATGTTACGACACTGCAATCTTTGGGATTGGGAACGTAGTCGTCTTCATCGTACGAAGAGAATCGATAGTCAAAGTTTGTGGTGTACGGACGGATGTCGATCTTGGAGAATTCGTTTGGAGAAATCATTTTCCGAAGGTCCCAAAGCTTCATCATCTGTTCCTTGCCGTTGGAGAGAACGTAGCGACCGTCGCCCTTTGAGTCAACGTACGTGAGACCCTCTGTATGGCCGACGAAAATGCCGGCGGGACGGCCATCCGCCATTGATCGTCTGTCCCAAACTCGCAACGTTTGGTCGTCACTACCCGAGTAAAGGATGTGGGGTGAGGATTTGTCACCAAAACAGACCGCATTTACATCGTCTTCGTGGTTCGATAGACGAACAGTCGACTGACGACGCTCCAAGTCATACACCACGACCGAGTGATCTGATGTTCCGGCGACGATCTCCCTTCCGTCACCACTGAAACGCAAGGACCAGATGCCAAAACCATGTCGGCCCATGTACCCGTAGGTCGGTCGGCCCATCCCTGCCCCAGGAGCAAAGTTGGTGAAGTCCAACAAAGTATGGTCCGAGTGGTCCGTTGGGTCGGTCGGGGCGAGGCACACCGTGTGCCGGATCGAAGAATATGCCAGCCACTTGTTATCCGGACTCAGCGTCGCATCTGTGATCGTCCATTGTCCGAAAGGGTAATCGACTGTCTTGTAGTATTTCCACTCATAAGGGTTGGATGTGTCGTACATGCGAACCTTGAAATTCTGCGTGCAGCTGAAAAAGAAATTCCCGTCGTCGGAAAACTGACCCGAGTAGGCTCGCGAGTCATAGTGAATGATCTTGTCGGCAGTGTTGGAGTTGGGTACTTGATCTTGGGCAATGAGATTATTCTGCCGTCTCATGGTGGATCGTGCCTCCAACCCCAGCCGTCGCCATAGTAGGCGTTCACTGACTGTGCGTCTTCTCTTGCGTCGGATGTCCAAGTATGTGTCTCGACAGCCATAGGCACCCGAGTTCATCAGCGCCTTTCCAGCTTCGCTCGGGACTTTGGGGAAGCGGTCGCCCTTTGGCTTTTGTCGTTGAACCCGCCGACGGCGACTGAAACCGCCGTAATCGTACGGCTCGTCATCGTCATCATCATCGTCGTCGGCGAAGAGGTTTCGACCGTTCGGGCCTAACAGGCGGTATCGACTAAGAATAAGTTGCCGAAGAGGCGCACTGGCATTAAGTAGGCCTCGGATGTCATGGAGAGTCACTGTTGCAAATAGTTTAGTCGAAGAGACAGGCCGGCAGATAGTAATGAAAACCAACCTGGGGAAGGTCGGGTGGCTGTCCGCGATCCTGTAGCACCACCATCGTTTTCAGTCTCGGTGTGATTTCCCTCCTCTTCATCTTCATCTTCCTCGTCATCATCTCCGCCTTCGTAGATTATTTCAATGCCGTGTAAAGTCTCCTGGGCATCTGTAGCCAGTCAAAAGCCATACATGTCTCGGAATATGGCTGGTATGTACCAATGAAATCGGCATCGCTGTCTTCATCCTGCGTGCCACCTGCGTCGGTACTTTGTTCCTCGGTGGGGTGGTAACTTTCGCCGTCATCATCGTCATCGTCAACGGAAAAGATATCGAGGATGTTGGACGGTGAGGGACTCAATCCTTCGCGGGGATCTGGGGAATTGGCCATAGCTTAATTGAGATAAGTGAAGATAGTCAAAGGTTTAAGGGAAAGAGACCAAACCGCAGACTGCGGACAGTGATCAGGTATTGACTCTGATCGGGCGACCGCTTGCGAACCGGTTTACTAAGTTCGTCAAATGCGGGACAATTGAAATGCTTATCTCCGTCTCTGCCGTTTTGGACCTCAAGTGGAGCCGAGGGCTACTACCCATGGCTACCTGGCATTTCCGCCACGCTGCTTTTAGACTTGAGACAAGGACCTCGTAGCACTCCTCAATTCTGCACTTCGATTTCACCACTACACCCAACACACTCATACCAAAGGACGACATTTGATTTCCTTCTTCCTAGTAGACCACTTGCGAACCGTCTGAAACTATCATGACTTGTGTCCAGATGATGTTTGAGGCTAACAAGGCTTCACACGCAAGGTGAATGCTAGCATCCCAGGACACATAGGCCGAGAACAGCAGGGTTGTGAAAGCAAGATCCAGCCATTGGAATTTGAGCTAAGAACCGAAGCAAATGCCTTATTACTTTAGACCTACGTCAAACCAGAAGCGGACGCCAAGAGAAGGAGAAAAAGACGAACCATGGACGGAGAATTTCAACTCAGACTCCTTCGTTCCCTGACAGCGATGACGATGATGGCGGCGTAGTCGCCTAATGTATTCTTTGTCTCAACCACCAGAACTTCCCAACTACAGACATTGTCCGTCTGCACAGGATGGAAATTATATCGGTGGCTTGCTGCCAATGCCAAAATTATGATCCACATTCTATTGCCATACACACCTCATTCCTTGCTTCAGTTCAATTCATCATACGTCTTGTCAACGCAAGGGCTAACCTGTCTAGACGCAGCCAACTTCCCCCCTGACTCTGGAGTCGTTAGCTTCTCCTTCAATACGACTAATGTCCCGACTTGCCTCTTTGCTTCCCGCTTTCGGGTTTTTTTGTCTCGGAGCTCTGGGGATCCCAGATATTTACTTCTTGGTCAGGGATCAATCCCACTGGTATTTCCAGCAAGGCCAACGTCCATACGACAGATATGGCCCGGATAGGCATATGTAACGCGATGCAGAGCGGCAATAGCATCTACCAAAAGGTCGCCGCCGCCGTTCTCTTCGTATTCGTTCTTGCCTTCCTGTTGTCAACACCCTCTCTGTCTTTCTCGAGGTCTACGAGCCCTAGCCCCCGAGAAATTGCAGCAAACTCGACCCTGGGGGTGAGTGTACCTTCATCTTGCTCCCGCCCGGTGTTGGCGTCATCACAACCTTACAGACTTTGATTTGTCTTCCAGTTTGAGAAGATCCTAACGGTCTCTATGAAACCGAGCTGGCCAACTCGCGGGTTGCTGGCCACTGCAGCGCACACCGGTCTAGAAATCACTGTCCCAGAACAGCCCTACAACTCGAATGATCTCGTTTTCAGCTTTCGAGGCTCTAGGTCCTGCCGACGTGCGCAACCAGGACATGGCTCGGCTCGAGCATGGCTGGCCCATCTTGACATGATGAAATACATTGTTGCGTCTGGCCTCAACAGTACGTTCGTTATTGAAGACGAATTGGACTGGAACACGGCTATCCACGAGCAAATGAAGTTGGTTTCTGATAATGTCCGAAACTATACAAAGACGCCCGCTTCGGACCCCAGCCCATTTGGAAGTGCTTGGGACGTCTTGTGGCAGGGCCATTGCGGCTAGGTGACGGAACCGGACACGGAGAGACTCGAGTACTACGACGACTCGCTCATGGCCACCGAAGACTACGCGGGATTTTCCAAGAAATTCCTGGTCAACGTCGCTCAGGATCACCGTTCCGTGCAGAAGTTGGTGATGACGGTGTGCACGTTTTGCTATGGGATCAGCCGGCGCGGGGCACGAAATATTCTCAAGGCGCTGAGCAGCGGTCAGGACGAGGATTTTGACGTAGGCCTGATGCAGTAGTGCAAGCAAGTCGTTCTGCACTGCATCTCGGTCAATCCGGAACTGTTTCACCACCACAACCCAAAGGAAGGCACCGGCTACATCTGCCCTAACCGGGAAGGCAACGGGTTGGGCAAGTATGCAGAGGACGGCGTCTTTGAGAATCTCATTGGCACCACAGCGAACATGTATAACAGTGCTCGATGTGAGGGACTGTTCAACGCCAGGTGCCCGCAGCCGCCGTCGGACCGAATGCCTGCGGGTGAGCCGCATCAGGACCGAGCAGGGTTTCGCCTTGTCGTGCGATGAGGGTTCGCACACCGGGACCATATCACCCTGTACCTTATAACACCAGGCTAGCTGTGTGTGTGTGTGATTGTTTGTAGGTATAGTGTATAGATCCGCTTTTGGTGCCTCTAACGCTATATATTTACATCTCAGGTACATAATATACAGCTATCTTCGGTAGATACAGTATCTACACCCTGGTTTTCGAGCGCCAGGGCCAGGTAGAAACCCCTCCCCCCCCTCCCCCCCCCTTCTCAGCGAATCATAATAGTATGTTAGAGAGAACAAGACAAACACCGCACCGAGATGCAGGAACAAGAGGAGAGGGTGAGAGAAAGCAAGAATACGTGTTTTCATAAACTCATTTTCACACAGGTATCGTTTCTCTGGTTGCAGATCCATCCGTCCATCCATCCCACGCACAGGTTTAGCGATTGCATACCGCTCAAGCACAACTTCTGACTTTTGATGACTATGAGAAGGGCGACCTCAATCGTTCGTGTTTCATCCTTCCCTCATCCATCCTTATGCCGATATTGCGTCTGTTAGGGCTCCCAGAGAGGCCACCGGTAGATATGGAGAATATAGGTTGCTAGCCAACTGATAGATGGCAGCTACAGGAGGTGTAACATAGAAGTTATCCACAGTGTTGGGGGCAGTCTTCGGTAAGACATCTCCCAGCGTGCGATAAGTAGGAATAGGGAATGTTGTTGTCTGTCATCACAAGCAAAAAGCCCACTCTTCCTTTCTCTCTCTCTCTCTCTCTCTCTCTCTCCACCTTTCCCCGTACGCTTTCTAGGCACGCAATTGCTCTCTCGTGATAGATTTCTTGTTCTTCCGCCTCGGCTCCGCCATGCCACATCACATTCACATCCCGTGGATATTCCTCGCCTCACCTCCCGCCGCCGCTGCGGCGACATCGAGCCACGCGTGGAGGATATCGACAACGCCCTCGTCAAAGTCCTCCGAGTGAGATGCGGCATACTCCGCCTGAAACGCAGTGACATCGAAATTTGGATCCCTGACGCGCTCAAACACGGCATCGACCAGCGCGAGCCTCGTGGCCTGCGATGATGATGGTAGGTTCACGCACAGCGGCCACCAGTACTCCTGGACGTCGAGGAACTTGGACAGCTCACGGCACGCGCTCTCCAGCACGTCCGGCGTGTGCCGCAGGTACTGCGACATCATGAGGAAGTACTCGGCGTGTAGGGCGCAGATGCTCAGGTACCGCCGGTCCAGCTTGGCGCGGCCCCAGATCTCGTGGTTGACAACGTCCATCCGCTCCAGGGGGTCGCGGTATTGGCGGAAGTGGTGGAAGAATAGGTCCGCGTAGTGCCCGATGAGATCGCGTTTCTCTTGGTCGGTTGCGGCGGCGGTAGCAGTGGTTGGTAGTGGTAGGTGTTGAGTGGTAGAGGTGACCGGAGTGGTTTTGGTTGTGTTGTCCGTGGCAGTGGCGTCAGCGTCGACGTCGATGTCAATGTCGGACTCAACACTTGAATTCTGGTTTCCTGACACAGGGACTGCGAAGGCACAAGTTAGATAGATCCCCTCCTTTCCCCTTCGCCACGTTGACTGACTCCCACTCCGATACTCACCATCCTTTTGGGGCCCTGTCTCATTGGTACCTTGTCCGACAGAGATTGTCTCTCGAGGGCCATCTGTCTCAGCCTTGAAGCCCGTCTCGGATGCCATTGAATCTGTGTCAGCAAAACAAAGAGGGGAAGAGAGGGAAGATGCGAGATCAAGTGAGATCGATGATCTGGATCAAGGCTGTCAAGCCAAGGGATGAAAGTGGTTTCTAAAAGTCTCCCGGAAATTAGAATCCAGAATCCAGAGAGAGTGTTTCGAGAACAAAGAGACCCGACCCCGAGAGACACAGTATGTGGGTGTGGGTGTGTATGTAAAGTGACAAAAGTGAATTTTGACTCTCCTCATCTTCCAAACAATTGTATCTCATCTCATCGTGGTTTCACATTGATCTGCCACTGATATGATATACCATACCCTACCCTCCTCTCTGGTTCTTGAGTGGGAACTGACTGGGAAGAGTCCCTGCTTCGCGGTCGCCGTGGTGGAAAAACATGTGATGAACATCAACGGAGAACCGTGTCCAGTAAAAATTAATCTTATATTTCATGTGCGGCCTCGCCTGCCTCACTCGCTGGATTCGAGTCCGATTCTTTTCCAAAACACATTGTTCTTGCTGGACAAATGACCTTCACGGCCGCCGCCGGTGTACGACGAACCTTTTTCATTGCGTACGTACACAATCGGTTGTTCGTTTCCCCCAAGAAAAAAGACAGAGCGCCAGCCAGCCCTGAGCATCATATCAAACGCCATGCATAAAAGATGTTCTCATCGTCGTCGAAGACACGCACTTTGCGTCGGCTTTCGGAGACAACGTACCTGATATCCCCTTTTTCGCCCCTTCGCCATTTGCCGTAGCCAAAAAAAAAGTACCCTGTTCACAACAGCAACTTTGCTTCTGCTTAATGACATATCGCTCTTTACACGTTCCTCTCTGGTTGGTTGACACAAAAATATGTTTTAACTGCTGGAATCCAATGTACATGTGGACGGGGCGTCCGTCCAGCCTGTCAGCCGATTGGCGATGTCGCTGGCGTAGCAATGCGTGGCTGGGCCCTTGCCCAGATCACCCGAATCGTCAATAATGCCAGAGTTGTACAGTCGTGCTCCGCGATAGTATGCCTCCGCGTAGTCGATACCGGCAATGTCAGCCTGGGCATTGATGTCGCTTGCGTAACCGTGGCCGCTAGCCGTGCCAGCCACTGTAAATGAAGAAGTGTTAGCCAAAACATTTGCTCGCCCAACGACGAAAATGGGAGACTTGGGGATTCGCATCTCACCTCCATCCTGAATCATGCCCAGAATCTGATCCTTCGGGCATGGATTCTGCACTTTGCCGTCGTCGTTGCAGGAGTGGGTCCCCCTGAAGGACTGCAAAAGTCCTGGGTTCCTCACGGTGCCGTCGGGTGACACTGTCGTCTTAGCACGCACACAACCTCCCGTTTCCTGCATCACCGCTGCCAGAATAAAGCGGTGGTCTACCCGCGTCTGTTGTGATACCTGTTTGATTGCGTTGTAGAGGTCTTGGATTTCTCGGTCCGAGTTGTTGGGTTGCTTGTAGAGGTTGTTGCAACTCCGAGTTATGATCTTCTGGTTGGCCACCCACATGTCATTGAATGAGATCCACGACAAACTCGACGGCCATCCTGACGCTATCGAGCCGTTACCCGTGTACTGTGTATAACTGTTCTGACCACCTGTTTTGAGAAACCCCACTCATTAGCCTTTTCTCCGTGCTCTTCCAGTCAACCCTTCGTACCGTCGTAGTCATTCCAGAACCCGTCACTCCCAAGTTTCCCTTGAACCACATCGGTGGCGCGTTTTACCAGGGGGATAGCCGAAGTATAGGCGGCGAGGAGCGATGTGAAAAGGACCTGCGATGACTTGTCAGCGCTCGAGTTCCTCCTCCATGGTCCGAGCGCATCAAAACTCAAAACATACCAGCCTTGATAGAGCCATTATGCACCCAATGCTACAACCTCCCAGCTCGAGTAGTATATGAAAAAAAAAACAAAAGAGACGATTCACACAAGTTTCGAATGGATACCGTTCTCAATCTGCAGTTGGAAAGAGGGACAGAGACGCGGGGAAAATGTCAAAATGCCAGGGTTGTATGAAAAGACGAAGAGGAATCGAAAATCTTTCTTACTAGATATTATGATGTGCAGAGACAGTGGAGAGACATGGGGCCCGACATTGTACGGTACGAGGTAGGTAGTCCATCGTCATGTAATGACCTGTCCAGATGGAGGATCATCACTGGTGGTGTCGCAGTTGCATAGCCAGCCAGGGATGTTTCAGAAAGGTTCAAGCGCTCTCCACCGCCATCGAAGAGGAGGTCAGGCTATGATGCTATCAGGCGCCTGAGGCCACCCCATAGTTAACTCCGTAGGGCACAATCGGGAACAATAAGAGGCTGTTCAGACTGGGCCTGATACCCACCGCAGGAAATGCGCGTGGTTGTTGTCCTGGATCGATCGCAGGTTGTGGCTTTTCCCATCGAGGCTTGTGGCGTGGCATGGCATGGGGCCGTCGTATCTTCAACACCCACGATATCCTGACACGGAGAGCGTTGGCCATGCCTTCGGAGTCTTGAGGAAATCCTTCGTCGTTTTTTGTGTGCGAACGCAGGGGGAAAAAAGGCTCTTCATTTGTCTGCAACGATGTGGGACCGCGGTGGATGCCCGTTGCGTTGGTAGAGTTGAACAAAATCCACACTTTCGGTCCGCCGTGGCCACCATCCTGACAAAACAGGGGCCGACAAGGGGTAATATCACCAGTCTGACTCAACTTCCGTACATATAACTGAGCAGATGACTGCGTGGGATACGTAACCTCTGAGTAAGGGCTGGTTTGAATACTGGTACAAGTACAGGGCTGCTCACGCTTGCGCATGGGCGTATTCTCCCACCACTACGACTTCAACACTTGATGAAATTTTCAGATGTCGTAGATATTGCCTCTCGGCGGCGTTCGCCAATGCAGGTCCCAATCGCTTGCTTGGTGCCTCGTCCTACCAAGTTAATACGTGGTGTGGTGGCATTATTGGCTCTTTTCAGCCTCCCAGCCTCCTTAGCCACCGCCACCGCCCAGCCCCTTTGAGTAACGACGAATCCCAAGGGAACGAGGAGGAGCACCACGAAACACAGCCTTGTGCCTTACAAGGCCTTTGACCAACAATGCTGCTGAGAACTTTTTCTTCATTGGCTACCTAGTTACTATCCAGGTATTGATGGTACATGGATTTCTGTATCTCCCATACTATCCTCAAGGGAAGTTCGTGATATGCCCATCCGTTCTCACACGGTATGCTGTCACTCATTTGGCTCAGCTCTGGCGCGACACATATTGAGCACATTTTTCATCTTTTTCTCGTTCAGCCATTAACATCAGGTCATATCTTTGTATCCTTGTCCTTGTTTGCCCGTCGCTTGCACAGACCCACTACCTTATTAGGTTTCTCTTCAAATCCACTCTCCACCTCCTGGCGCGGTGCCGTGGCCTAGGCCACAAAGAACGATTGGGGCTGCCTCGAATTGTCCAATTTTGTTCATCAATCTGCTCACTTGGTGAGGTTGGAAGCCATCTGCTTCGATCCCAAAGACGTCGTCGCTGGATCGCCCAATCTGAATGAGCGGAATGGATTTGCAGGGACCTTCGTGTGGTATCTCGCCAGCGACCTGCCCGCTTGTGTGAAGTTCATCGCAATTTCGCGAAGTCGAACAACGAAGCCCAGAATCCGAAACCGACCGTTTGATTGTTGATCGAGGCATCATGGATACATCCAGGTCGCCTGTGTGAAGGTCCCAGTTGTCAATCTTGGACTTCAGATGGTCAATAGATGCCGATGGTTTGTGTGGCAAGTGACTGCCCTTCCCTGCCGGCAACCCGGATACAAGTTGACCGTTGTTCTCGACGTCTCCTCCTTGACGATCTAGCCCTCCTGTGAAACTCAATTCTCTCACGTCACGGCTGTATATGCTAGACGTGCCCCGGCTGTGCTTGCTCGTCGTATTCAGGATCGGTTTGAAGATTGTCGACAGCGACGAAGCAGAGTAACGCCGCGAGATTCGTTTGGTGGGTCGTAGCAGGGACCATGACACGATTTTGGCACGTACCGAATTTGAGCGCCGTTTGAAAACTTTCGCAGGAGACCCTTTGCCTACCTTGTGTTTGCTCGGTGCTGCCTGCTGCAACACATGGAGTTTTTCGGGGGAGTGGAGGATCACAGAACTGGGGGTTCTCCGGTGGCTGTGTGATGGCGCGTTGATGCGAGGAGCAGTACCTTTTGGCCGCGACGGTGTTGCCAGAGCCTGTGACTTCTTCGCAGACTGCGTTGGTGAAGTCAGAGGCGTCGATGTACGCCCAGGCGTTGTGAAGGGATTGGTGGATGGTGTGTAAGGCTTGGATGGATCTTTCTCCTTGTTGGCATTGCTCGCTGCTCGATCGAACCAATCTCTTATTTCCGACACAGGAGTCTTTGGTCTTGTCAATGTCCCCATCCTTTCCAATCCCTCCTGCTTGCGCGGGCACTTCGCCTTTGGTGTTCCTGTCGCGTCACACTTCTTAGATTGGAGATTTGTTACTGACACCGGGCCAATCTGTTGCGCATCGTGTCCTCTGCATCCCTCAGGTTTGTGCAGCTCGCGCGGAATATTTCCAGGAATGGTCCGGCAGTTTGCGGATGCTCTCGTCACTGACATTTCTACTGCTGTCGGATGACCAGAATGCTGAGGTGCTGGAGAAGGTGTTCCGAAGGTGTCTGTAGTAGACTCTGAGTTTCTCAATTCCAACTCTTGAAAAAGTTTGGCGGGATGGACAAGTGCTCCTTTTCGGCTGGAGCTGAAAGGCAAAGGAAATCGGTCCAGTTGCCTCGTCAGGGGTGGTGGTCTTCCTGCAGGTCTTGGTTTCAAGACAAGAGGTTCCGGAACCGGTAGGATGTAATCATGCTTCCCTCCGAATGTGGTGAAGTCCCGCGGGTCAACCCCTACGCCTTCTCTTGCTGCTCGCAAGTGGCTTTGCGGCATGGTTTGCATGTGATTTCTTGTTGAAGGCCAGCATTGAGGTGGAGTCAAAAGCTCATAGGTGTGGCTGGCTGGCTTGACTGAGTCTGCTTGGACAGTACGATGGGCTGTGTGAGCTGGTGCTGGACTGTTGGGGAAAGGACTTTCAACTCTCGGGTCATATCGTTGGACAGGAATGGGAGGTTGTTTGCGAAACCCACGCAGCAGGGCTGGATGGCTCGGAAATCGAGGAGGAGAGTTGAAAGGTGGATAACGGCGCGTCACTGAATATCGACCTAGACGAGTGCCCCGTTTCTTTCGATATTTCGGGAGGATAATGCCCCAGATCACACACCCAAGGACAACAAGAAAGGCGATGATGGCAAAGATGATGGAGAATGTCCGACCCGAATCGTCACCACGAGGGCGCAGGACTTTTCGAGGAATGACACCCATGGTTTATGACAGAGGTCAACAATAGACGACTGACAACTAGAGGAAGTGATCGAAAGACATTGGTCGGATGCGTGGAGGGAGCATAGAAATGGTTGGAGAGGGTGATGGTTGACGTGAATGAGCAGACAGATAGCGTGAATTTGCGACGACGGCGATGACAATGACGACCACGACAATTGTGCGATAGCGACCCAAGGCGGAAGGAACAGCGAGGCACAACAGAGGACACATCTTGAAGCACCTGCACTCCTAGAGTTGACGATCGGAACTCTTTCCTCATGAAGCCATTGACCTGCTTCTATTCACTGTTTGTCACTAACAAAGTCGTCCATGTGGGAGGTAACGAGGCTGCGACCCACTAGGAGATCGCTTCTCACACCCTGACATGAAGTTGGCAGAACCGAATCGCTGATATCGTCGAGCCTGAGAGCATCAAGAACACATCAAGAACATTCCACCACCAAGTCATTCCACTCACTCAATATTGGCCTTTACTCCCCTGATCCACCCGGCCTGTCCCGGGGTTGAGCACCAAGAACCCAGCCCATTCCACTCACTAGGCCACTTGTTACCATATTCGCAACCATATCTCTCTTTCGTACCCTTCCACCATCGTCCGACACCGGAGAGCCGGCTTGCTCCCTTTGTGCATCGCGTTGTTTCGCTGTGTCCGAATGTATCTTGAGATCTCCCAACCCTCCGGAACCCAGTGGGAAAGCAGCACTTTTACGTAGCGCCAATGCAGCTCCTCTGGCAACATCGAATAAACCTAGCGGTGCTTCTTCCTCATAAGAAGGCCCTGCCCCATTCGGCCCGGACCGACGCGCCATGACGCGCTTCGTTTCCGCTACATCTGCATCCCGGTGATCGAGACCAAATGCTCCAGGCACAGTGGCATCGGCTCTGGCTTCAAAAGCTCGCTCTTCCTCCACAGCTTGCGTCTTCAGTCCATCTAGCTCCTCTTCGTAGCGGCGCCAAGTGGCCAGTATTCCCGGCAAAGCTTCACCAGAAGGTGCCAACATCAAGGCTCGCGAGAGCAGCTCCATCCTCTGTGTCAAACTGTCGATCCGTGAATTCAAATTCTTCGGCGACGTGCTGGGCCGATATTTGCCAGCCGCATAGGCTGCGCGCCAGGAGACATCATCGACAAACCCAGAAGACGCAGCCTGCTCCACGGGTGTGTTGAGCCGTGTTGTGATATACGCATATGCCGTGTCGAAGTCATTAGCACCCAAAGCTGCCATGATTGCCTGGTACGTTATTCTGTGTTCAGCGTCCAAGAGACGTGATTGAAGAGGATCCGATTCCTCTGTTATCACATTCCCCCGGTTTGGCAAATGAGCACGGATGAGATTACGACCTATCTCTAGTAGGTCGTCCAGCTTGGTGTATGCTCTCACGTCCTGTTCCAAGACCTTTTCTACTAGGTTTAGCGGATCTTTCTGCACTCGGATGGAGACGGGCTTGAAAGGAACACCATGCTGCAGGGTGAGCTGGTAG